CGTTTGCTTTTTTTGTATTACATTTAAGACATCTTTTCGATGTCGAAAAAAGATGTCTTTTAGATTTGCATAATCAATTAAAAAACAATGTCTTAAAGACATTATAAATAAGACTTTTAAAGACGTCTTTTCGAAGTCTTTTTTCCTACTGGGAAGTTCATGTTTTAGAGTTAAAGAGTTAAGAGAGGGTTGATAACTAAAGTAAAAGAAACAAAAAAATAATAGAAAAATCTATTATTTTAGTTTATTTGTAGACTGTTTTTTATGTTCACTAGTTTTTTAGAAGTGGTAACCAGCTAGAAGTCGTAACCTGCTCGTATGAAAGGATTTCTCGATGTGAAATTGTTAATTTTATTCAACAACGCCACGAAACAGAGCTCACGTAAGAAACAGAAAAGAAAAAGAATGATGAAAAAATATTCTGTTGAACAATACTATTGTTTTGTTTATAAATTATTCTCCTATATTTAAACATATAAAAGATGTAGAAAATGCTTCCTCTTTTATATTGACATCTAAAAGTGGTTTTTTTTTCGGCATTGAAAAAAGCTTTTTGTCATACTTTGTATGAAGAGCTATTATTATTTTCATTTGAAAAAAATAGCTTTTTATATAAGAAAAGTAGAAATACTATGGTGTATAGGATACTATAGTATATTAATAAATATGGCAAAAAAGTTGTTCCGACCCCGAGAAAAAACACTTTTTTAGAAGTGCATAATTGATAAAAAAAGGCGTCTTAAAGATGAATTTTTTATGTCTTTTCATGACAAGATTAAGATAAAAAAAGACATCTTTTTGATGTCGAAAAAAGATGTCTTTTAGATTTGCATAATCAATTAAAAAACAATGTCTTAAAGACATTATAAATAAGACTTTTAAAGACGTCTTTTCGAAGTCTTTTTTCCTACTGGGAAGTTCATGTTTTAGAGTTAAAGAGTTAAGAGAGGGTTGATAACTAAAGTAAAAGAAACAAAAAAATAATAGAAAAATCTATTATTTTAGTTTATTTGTAGAATTTGGTGATACCAACAATATCAAAGTAAAATTTAGATTTTAAAAGATTTTTTATTTTGGCGTAGCTCGCCTTTTACAGGCCTATTCTTTGTTTTTGTATCATATTTTCATTTTTTTATTATTAACTCAATTATAAACAGCTTTTGTAAAAACTTCATTTACCATATTTAGTTTAAGATTGAAAAGATTATGGTACACAGAACACATTTAAAAAAAAAAAAAAAGAAGTAAGAAATGTAAAATTATTTAAATTGAGTAAATTTACTTTGGTAAAAAAAATAATGTTAATAAATTTTTTCCCCTTAAGTAGACCCACTCAATTTAAATAGTATAATGGACCTTG